CTATCTATCTATCTATCTATCTATCTATCTATCTATCTATCTATCTATCTATCTATCTTCCTATCCATCCATCTGTCCATCCATCTATTATTTATTTACCTCCTACCTCTGCCTTTCTACTTATCCTCGTCGTAACTATCTTTTATCACTTGTATTTATTATCATCAGTTCTCTTAGATCCATCCCTATCATCATCTGTCTGTCTGTGACTTATTTATTGGTATCCATTTACTGTTCCCTGTAAGCGTTGTTCCTCCATCCGGGACTCCTGGGGTCCTGGACCACTGGCTAGCTCTCCACTTCTTCCAGCACTGCGCATTCCACCTGTTCCTCAGAGCTGCTGCTCTTTCCCTTGTGCTGCCATGCCGGGACTCCGGAGGAGCCTGCAGCTGAGCAACCCTCCAGAGAGTGACTCAGAGACAGAGCCCTAGAGAGTGGGACTGGCTTGTCCCACACACGGAGACAGGTTTAGCTCTGCCGCGCGGTGGGATATGCACGACCTTTCAGTCACTCACCTTGCTAACCACAGGCGGGGCAGCCAGGAGCAGCAGCAGGACAGGCAGCAGGAGCGCCAAGAACCTTGGAGCAATCTCTGAGTGCATGATGGGCGACAGTCCTGAGTCCCGGTGTTTTCAATGACCTACCTCTCAGGCCTCCATATCCCCCGCGGGACACAGATTGGAGAGGCTCTGCAGTGAAGCTCGCCTTGCTGGCTCACTGGGGCGAGTTTTGTAAGGGTTCGACCCACTGTGGTCTGTTTGTCCTCACCCAAGCTTTTGATTGTGACTCTAAGGGAGGGAAGAAGTGGCTGAGGTCCCGCCTTCGTCCCCTCTCCCTCCCAGCTCGCCAGGCACTGTCCCTTCAACCGGGCATGGTGCCGAGGAAGTGAGAAAGGGTTGGGCGCCCGCAGAGCAGGCAGGTGGGCGCAGCTCCAGGGGTCAGAGTGAAAGAGGTGATGTCCCTGCGATCCAGGGACTCTGGTGCCTAGCGGGTGCAGATCAGCGTGAGGAATTTAGGGGTGTGCGGTAGGGAGGTGGCTGCACAGGGTGAGGGGAGTGGCCAGCAGCCCTGCCCAGATTAAGCGGGAGGCGTGCGGGAGTCTGCAATTCTGGAGGCCGGGTTTGCTGGCAGCTCTAGGGGCTGCCCCATCTGCTGCCGGCCTTCAATTCTCAGCCAACACACAGACCTGAGGCTGGACAGGCTGTAAAGAGGAACACGATCACGGGTGGACTCCCTCCAGCTATAACCTTGAGTCGAGTGTCAAGTCTGCCTGCTACCTCTCAGCTCCTTCTCTGCCCGGTTGTTCCCCAGGTAAGCCGCCCTCAGGTAGGCACCGCCCCAGAGCCAAGGCACCTGCCTGGGAGCAGAAGCATGGTGGCATCTAAGGGGTGGTGGCTGGGGAAGTTGTGGCCTTGGGGTCAGCAGAGGAGAGCTTGCCTGGCTCCCAGGCTTCTTTGCCAGGGTTTGAACTGGGCACTGTGTATTTTGATTAATTTGGAGGCTCGAGTTACTGTCCTGGCAGTCCCAGCATTCCAAAATGCCAAGAGCAAGAGGCAACTGAGGGGAAAGAGAAAGCTCATCCTATTCTCTGAGTTGAACTGCTTTTCAGGCTAAACCTTATCTGCGGAAACAGAGGAGAAAATGAGAGCCAACTCTGGTCCAGGGTGTCCCTGCCTGGGAGGGCCTTGGATGCAAATGTCACTTCTGGCTTGGTAGGGTACATTGTTGCAGGGCTCTTATGCTATCGTGCGGCCGACCTCACTGAATGGGGTGAATCATTTGAAATGCCCAGGCTACAGTAAAATCACCGTTTTGCTTAGATATCATCACAGTGCTAAAGAAAGAATGTAGAAACAGGCAGGAAAAATTGTAAGCGGATGGGTTTGCTGGCTCTCTAAGGTTCCCATTAAACAACATCATCCCAGTGGTAACTGGGAGCAAGGTCTCGTGATAACCATCCAAATGTCATGAACGTATCAGTGGGTGCAAACTCAGCCACCAGCACTTCAGGAGCCTGTTAGCAGGTAGATGCTCGTCACTGAAGGAAAGGCCCAGCTTCCAGGAAGAAGCAGCGAACATTTACTTGTCTCTGTTTTCTTATCCAAGTTCGCTGGTCATCTGAGTTCCCTCTCCTTTCATCCCACCCCCCTCAGATCGTAGAGTGAAAGGGGCGTCTTCCATGACGTACAACCGTGGCTTGTACATTAGAATCTCCCGAGGAAAATCTAAAAGTCCCAGTACCCAATGAATTCCAAACCACTTGTATCAGGCTATCTAGACGACAAACTTCCTGGCAAATGGTAGAACCTCTTGCGAATTCTTTGTGCAAATGTGCTTTGTGGTCACTTATTTTATTTCATTTCTTCTCTTTCATACATTACACCCCCACCACAGTAATTTTGGTTAGTTGTACTGAATTAGGGGCTCTTTAGTAAAATAACAAGAAGATATTCATTAAAATCTTTACTAAGGTTTAGGAACATTGTGGAGTTTGTGCCCAGATCAAAAATGTAATCTGCCACATAGTGGCTTTAGTGCCACATAGTGTCTTGGGGGAAGTTCTGGCATCCTTGTGGGGTAGGATGTCAGGTACTCTGCTGATGCCCAAGAGAGCTGAGAGGCACGTGATTGTCTTTTATAAATTGATACTGCTTCTTGAAAAACAAAATCAAAATCTCACTCGTGATATCAAATGCTTCTCCCCTTTGCAGGACTATAGAAAATTTAAATTTTCAATGGCTTTTCTCGAGGCCCTGTGGTTTCTTTATCTCCTCCTTCCTATGTAAGATGTATCTGTGCGTGTTCACATGTGTGCTTATCCTTGTATGCGTGAACAAGATCCACAGAGTGTGTGTGGGATGGTCAACTGACAACCTTGAGTGTCGGGGTCTTCAGTTTCCACCCTGCTAGGGACACGGTCTCTTACTCTCCTGGTGTGTGAGCTTCCAGGGATTCTTCAGCCTACATCTCCCTTCTTGCTGGGTTGTTAGATACACATGAATCCTAGGATGGAAACTCAGGTCCTCACCCCCACAGCAGGCATTTACTCACTGTGTCCTCAGCCAGAGCCCTGGAGTTTTGATGGAAGAACAGACTGAGATTATCAGCATGGGAGGGGAAGACCAGTCATTCTTTTTGTATTGTATTTCTGATGCAGCTGCACAAGAAAATGGGACTATGCAGAGGAGGGAGGAAGTAGATGCTCAGGAGCCTGGCATCTGGACTACCCCTGGATTCTGAATCCTTTTGTACATACTGGTGTGGATTAATTTCTCCCGGGTGAACTCTTACCCTCCATAACATTGGTCTAATCATGGTACCAGCCTCAAGGAGTTGTAGGACTCTGATAATCCCTCAGAAATATTTTGTACAAGATGTTCATCTAAGCAGTATGCAGTGCATCCTGACTGGAGTTGCATAAGGGAAAAGAGATGGACATGGTGAAAGATGGTGGCTCAGTTCAATGCGAATGAACAAGAACCAAGCACAGGCCCATAATAACTTCAGGTCAGCACACTTTCAAAGTACTAGAACCCTGCCTTGGCCTTCCCGACACCAGCTGCATTGGCACACCCAGGAGCTGTTAGGAACTGCAGTCTCAGCAGCCATCCAGACTCATCGAATCAGAATGTCATGGTCCAAGGTTTGAGATCTCTAGCAGATTCACTTGCACGCAAAACATGAAAAAGTGGCTTGTTTGGAAGCCAGGTTTAAGCATCCATTTCTCACCTCTCCCTACACACACGCTTCACTACCCTGATGTTCTGCTCATCTATGGTTGGAATTAACCAGGGCTCAACTAGAGACCTGAATTAAAAACAGAATCAAAATCAAGAGAACGGGTGTATCGTGGTTTACTCTGTAAGTATGAAAAACGAAAGTGTACTGGCCAGTTTTGTGTGTCAACTTGACACAAGCTGGAGTTACCACAGAGGAGCCTCCCTTGAGGAAATGCCTCCATGAGATCCAGCTATAAGGCATTTTCTCAATTAGTGTTCAAGAGTGGGGGGCCCAGCCCATTGTGAGTGGTGCCATCCCTGGGCTGGTAGTCTTAGGTTCTGTAAGAAAGCAAGCTGAGCAAGCCAGGGGAAGCAAGACAGTAAGCAGCACTCCTCCATGGCTTCTGTATCCACTCTTCCTCCAGGTTCCTGCCCTGTGTGAGTTCCAGTCCTGACTTCCTTTGGTGATGAACAACAATGTGGAAGTGTAAGCTGAATAAACCCTTTCCTCCCCAACTTGCTTCTTGGTCATGATGTTTAGTGCAGGACTAGAAACCCTGACTAATCCAAAAAAAGGAAAGAAAAAGTGGTTCTTTTAGTACAAGATTTTTTTTTAACACTTAATACTAGATGGAGGTTTTGAATACAATTTTCAATGCCCTTGACAACTACATATAAATATTCAATCTGCCCTTAAAATTTTAATTAATAACATGTCTCTTCTGTGTTCTTTTTAAAAAACTTTAAAAGATTTGTTTCATCTATGTAAATATTTTACTCACAAGAGTGCATGTGTGTGCAGGTGCACATGTCTGTATTCTGAGACAAGAGGAAGATGTCAGGTATACTGTTCTAGCCTGTGTAGCCTTGTTCCCTTAAGACAGGGTCTCTCGCTGAACCTAGAGCCAGGCTGGAGGCCAGCAAGGCTGAGGAATTCTGTTTCTGATCACGTGAGATCTCTGTTGCAGTTGCAGGTGTACATATGTCCAATCTGGCTTTTCTGTCCATACTAGGGATTTGAACTCAGGTCGTTATGCTTGTTGGCAAGTTTTTTTCCTTATTAAACAGCATCTCTAGTCCTGGTGTTTAAATATGTGTGTCCACTTCACCAATTTTCAGTGTAAGCCCCATTAGGGAAGAGGCCTCTTGGGGGTTCTGCCCTCTCCCCTTTGTGAATGGACGATTAAATGTGAACAGCTAAGTAAGTTCACATAGCGATCACCCTCAGGCCTGCTTCCCCCAAAGTCCATGAATGTCCACAGCCTCTACTGCACACTCGGTGTGTGCTTCTGCTTTTGATAAGATGTGCAGTATTAGGTTGCCCATGGAGCCTTCTCTGAGCTCTTCAACTCCCCTCTCAGTCATCTCCTCCTCCATCCTCCCCTGAGAACATTCTCTTCTCATCACTTTCAGGTGGCTTTACAATTTCAGCATCACCACCAGCTTAAGCTAGTTCTTGCTTCTGACTCCTCTGTTCCTGCTCTACAGTTCCTGCACTGGTATCCACTTGTATTAGGCATAAACTATGGATGCCTTCGAGCTGGTTCGCTTTCATGGAAGTCCTGTGAAATCGACCTTTGGTGCTGTTATCAAAGTAGCCATTTAAAATTGCACACAAGGTTGGGGAGATGGATCAGCTGATTAAAATGCTTGCCATGGAAGCACGGGAGTGGAATTTGGATTCCCTAGAGCCTACTTAAAAGCCAATGTGGCAGGCGTGGCGGTCCACTTGTCCAGAATGTGGGAAGTGTATTATACAGAATCCTTGGAGCAAGCAGGCTAGCTCCAACCTCCCCAAAATGGTGGGCTCTGGTTCAGCAAGGGATCCTGCTCTCATATGTAGGGTAGAGACGGTTGAGACCGAATACTAACCTTGGGCCTGCAGATGCACCTACACACATGCAAACAGGCAACACATGCACACTCACACATGCACTCCATGCATATAAAAAGACTATAAAATATGAACTATAGAAGATAGACAAACAATAATGTATAGTTACTTCAATTCCTTTTTTTCTCTATAATGCATAGCATGAGTTAGTGCAAACAAGATCCAGGTAGATACTTCTTGAGTTAATAACCATAGATATTTACATAGCATTTAAAGTATATGCAGATGACACCAGAAATAGATATGTCATCAATGCCAACCTAATTTATAGAAAGTTACCTCATATTTTCATGACCTACTACTATATTTAATGATTTTAATTTACAAATAATTTTTCATTCTCGTTATATATAAACTAGATTTAATATTTTATTCTTATTCATTTTTATTGTAAAAATGTGATATAGACTTCTTTCTAGCTTTATTGTCTGAGTTGTTTTTCTAGGTTCTTTATTTCCAAAGTTCATAATGAAAGAGCAAGCTAACTTTAAATATAATCATGATTATATTATCTGATGATATTCTCAGCTGCTAATTATTTTGGCCATTCTGTCCACTGGTAACCTTGTGCATACAGAGTATCCCCATGACTCTGCTCAGAGATGACACTTGTGTGTGGTCCGTACTGAATGTGATGCTGAGACGCACAGTGAACTATGAGAAGTCCATGGCTCCGAAGCCATTTTTTTGTGTTGTTG